CATCAGAATAGAATCAAGGTAACAGTAAGATAACTTAATCCTGAGATATTTCAAGAAAAACTAAGCAAACCAAGCCAAGTAACAATGAAATATTAAAAAAGAAGGAATGATTTGAGAGCACCAGAAATGGGGAATCCAAAATCAAAGGACTGGTAGTGAGCAATGCATCCATCTATATCCAAAATAAGGATGAAGTGTCAAAGAAAGTTGCTGAACAAAATGTAAATGTTATGAACTCTGATAAGGTTAAAATAATACAATGATCAAAAAGTTGAAAATGAAGAGAAGTGAGGACATATTAGAGAAAAACTAATCAACCCAAATTCCATTGGCAGGGAGTTAATGATCATTGTTTTGAATTAAAATGTGGATATAATACATCCAGTTTCCTATTGGTATTCATAATCTTTATTCTTAACTACAAAGACACATTTTCTCTAAAAAAAGTATTCTTGTGGTAAAGAAATATGTAAGTTTGGTGATTTTTCCCAAATGATTCCAGATTATTTTTATTCTATTAGATAATGCATAGTATGTCAATTATAAATAGCACACACATGTCTGTCTATTTGTCCTTTTATTTGTGTAGATGTATAATTATATAATTGTGATCTTGTTCATCATATTTTAAAATATATTTTTATCTTACTGTAAAGATTTGGGAATGATTTGTGTTTTTCTTAACTTGAATACATTATAGCAAAACAATAAATCTTACCTTATTAAATGCATTAATACAAAATCATGATGATAAAATGATTATAGACCCCTGCAGGTATCTATTTGTTGAATTGGTATGAATTGGTTTATATGGGAGAAAGATGCTGCATTGATGAGATTGGCCAAGTACTTGAAAAACATGGGGTGAGGAGATTAGCATGCTGTGCATCCAGGAAAGAGGTTTGCTGTGTTTTTCTGACCCCATGGCTTTAATCTGCATGCTATGAAGAAGCACTGAATACACAAAGTGCAAAATTAGTTGCAAATAGGAACTAAGCATCACCATTTTGAAGGCAAATGAAATGAAAATGACTGGACAGGAAGGGGAGAACAGAAATTTGTGCTCTGCTAATAGAAAAGTCCTGAGAACTCAGACTTCTTTGCTTTGCCATAGAGTTAATAAGATTGGAATTATCTGGTAACAGTTCCCTAGCACAAATATCAGATGCTTGCACAGGTGGCAGTGGTGAGTTACCACCTTAACTATGGATCCTTGAACAGAAAAAAAAAAAAAAAAAAAAAAAAAAAAACCTAGAGGAATGTTTATCTAGTATCAGATGAAGTTAGGTAGTAGTTAATCTAGAGAACTGCATGATGTAAATTTTGCTGGTATGAATCAGTGAAATACAGATAATTTAACCACATAAGAACTCTGGTATCATTAAACCTTCAAAAACATATTCCAATTACATAAAAAAAAAGCAAACCTGCTGATTACAAGTCCTAATTTCCTGTTATTTCAAAGGTTTTGACCTAATGTTAGACATGCCTCTTGAAGATAAACTCAGAATGTTTATCATAGTTATGAGTAGTGTAAGTTAGTGTCAGATAACTTATCCTTCATGATTTTACTCTCTGAATAAAGAAACAACAACTATATATTTAATTTCACAGAGGTTCATTGAATACTTATTCCCTGCAGAAAATGGTGTTAATTATGTTAGTCATTGAATTCCAAGATATTTTTAGCATGGAGTAAAACATGCTTTGTGTTTACTGTTTTATGAACCACTTAGAAAATATTGATTTTTTAAAGCATGTAAAAGAGGTAAACTAATATGGATAATATGACAGAACTTGGATAATATGACAGAACTTCAAATATCTATAGCTAATTGGTGCTAGGATAGGGATTAGCTTACTTAAAGAGCAGAAACAGCCCATAATTTACTAGGTTCAGAGACTAGACATATATGAGTGTGTGAAACTATGTCTCTCCATTACCTCTCCATGCGTAGGATCAAATATCTACTTAATCAGAAAGTAGCTTTAAATAAAAAAACATTTATTTCACAGAGAAAAACTGACTACCCGCTAACATTAATGCAGGAAAACACATGGACACCCATATCAAAAATGTAGGAAACCAAACATAAATCAAAGTGATCATACACATTAGTACTTTTTCTTAGTTTAATTGAATCTTTAAAAGTGCCTTTTGAATTTAATAGACTTCCTTCTGTTAGACCTACAGGAACTGAAATTTTATCATAAAAATGTTTGAAAACATAAAATGTGGATTGAAATGTATAATATTTAAAAAAATAAAAATATCATTTCTACTAGGATTACTGATTTTTTTTTTCTTAACCTAAGACTAAAGTATTTTTTTTTAAAGATTTATTTTTATTTATTTATACAAGCACTGGGTACAGTCAGAAGCGCAGGAGGGTGAGAGAATTCACCAGAGCCAGAGCGGGGAGCAGAGCAGGCAGAAGGACCGAGGTACACTGCTGAAGGGAGCGGGCAGCAGGAGAGGTCTGCGTGCCATGTGGGACCCTCACACGGTGGCCGGGGAGCAGCCGGGGATCGAACCGGCGCTGCAGAGGCTGCGGGCAGCTTCGCAACCCAGCGCTCAACCACCGCGCCACCGGGGAGGCCCAAGACTAAAGTATTTTTATAATTATCTACAAACTCACTTTATTAATGTGAAAACTAATGCTTGCAAGAGTTGTGGCAGGTGTTTTTGAAACAATGAATAAACCATGCATGCCTTCATAGAGAAGAGAATCCTAATAGGGAAACTACTTTTAAAATAAGAGTTTTTTCTTTTTATTGTAGATCCTGTCTGAACTCTAGCTGAACATACTCTCTCCTGTCTATGCTGTGCCATGTTTCCTACTTAGGTAACACACAGGCAGTGAGAGGACACATTGGAAGGAACAGGACAGGGCATGTGAAAAAGTGCACACAGATTTCAATCAGTACAGTGAGTTTTGGAAATATTTGTGAACTTGGGGTTTTGAACTTCCTGAGGAATAAAGATTAGAAGCCCAAATGCCATTATTTTATACTTCAATGCTATGAAATCAGTGGACTCTTATTTGGTCCACAGATGGAAAACAGATATTCTTGTTTCCAGGGACAACCCTATTTTATGTCTGTGATTATATTCTCAAAAATGTTCCATCTGGGAAGTTAAATTCTGGTAGAGAGCGTCACAGCCCCTTTCTAAATTGCATTTGCAGGTTACTTCAAATTGTTTTATCTGACTTGAGGATAAATCTTTTTTGCTATGCCTGAACTTGCTAATAAATGTATTTTCATGTAATTTCCTATTTATTACTCTTCTTCCTATACTAAAGATTTTCTTGATTTCCATGTATGTTTCATTTCTTTAAATAATAAAGTGTCTAATATTGTGAAGTACAAAAATAGCTCATTAATAATAGTGCCAAATACTCATGAAAACACAATAACTGTGACGTGCAATGGGAATACATTAAACTGAGTTACATAGTGTTTTCTCAGTTTTAATAAAATTAGGTGAAACAAAAACACCAAACATACTTTTATTTCGACCTTAATCATTTTTAATAGTTTTTTTCATGTAAGGTGAGGTGTTTGTGTATGTGTGTGTGTGTGTGTGTGTTGAGTATGTCTGACTCAAATTCAGCGTGAAAAGTAATTTCAATATGAAGTTTACAGTACCCAGAGAAGCAATGCATAAAGTATTAAGTTTTTACAGGCTCATATGTGAAAAATAAGATTTGAAGTTAGTAATCCTAATTAGAAGTTCTTTTTTTAAAGATTTATTTTTTATTTATACAATAGCTGGGGTACAGGCCAGAGGCTCGGGAGGGTGAGAGGATTCACCAGAGACAGAGTGGGGAGCACAGCAGGCAGACCAAAGGTACTGCTGAGCAGAGCAGCAGTCAAGACAGGAGAGGTCTGCTTCACCATGAGGGAATCTCCCTTTCTGGCCAGAAATCAAACCCGTGCTGCAGAGGCTGCGGACAACATCACAGCACTGTGCTCAACCCACTGCGCCACCGGGAGGCCCTAATTAGAAATTTTTTGAAAAGCAAATCCTCTAGTCTGTTTTGAAGTTGATATTACAGAAAAATAGTTTTGAAACAAATTATCAGATTATGGCTTCCTATGCTACCTATTTACTCATATAATTGTGATACTGAAATATTATTCTAATCTAAAATAGACTTTCATATTTATAAAAGAAGCTTAATAATCTTTTAATATCTCATATAATAACATGCTTTCTATATGTTTGTCTTTGAAAATTTACTTTGTGTGTATACACATATACACTCAATTTCCAGGGATTTGGGATTAAGAAATTGCCTAACAGACTTGAAAGATTGTAGTTAGATTGTGATGTACACAAGAAAACTTACTACCTTCTTACCAATAACACACTTACACCAAAATGAATGTCTAAACTACAATCTTTTATTTTTCAACATGCTGCTAAGTGATAAAACACACATAGCATATACATATACACACACACACACACACACACACCCCATTGGAGAGGCTATTCTGACTTGTTTTAAAGTACATCTAGCAATAAAATTAATTTCCATTATAAGGCTCTTTGTCATCTCTTTTAGAAAATGCATGTCCATTAAAGTTGAAAAAATATATATAGTATATTGAATTATAATTATTTATTCAAGTAGATGCTTCTTACAAAGATTACTTGCTATGTAAAATGCCCCTTTTGTAATTGCAATAGCTGTATGTATTTAACTTACATTGAAAATAAAGGGGGCATATTCTTTGACCTTTTGTTATTTATAGTCTAATATAAGCAACACTGCAGTTGAATTCAAAATAGTTCTCTAATTTGTCTGTTTGAAACTAACCCTCACCATTGGCTTTTCAACTGTTTCATTGTTTTGATTTATTCCAATGAGTCTCTAGTTTAAAGAAACTAAATACATACTGAAGAGATAAGGGGATTCTACTGTCCTATTTCAAATTAAAACATAACCTCTAAATATTGTGTACAGTAAGCCAAAGCCAGTATCACATACCTTTCGAGAATGAATTTCTTTCACATACAATGGAAGTAGAAACTCAGATATACCTTCAAGTCGGATTCCCTTCTTGGTGACTCTCAGATTTCCCATACCATCCTACAAGCAATGAAATATAGTTCACTTTTAGGTTAATTAGAGAATGAGTATCCGGCCATAATTTTCTTAGGCCTAAATTGAGAAAACAGTAGTTCAAATCAGTGATGATTGAAGGAAAATGAGAGATTGATCTACTTAATAAATGATTGCAGCAGTTTTGCATACATTTAAAGGGCTCTTTAAGGTAATTAGGGGAGGAAGGATAAAAAGGACCTGGTGTCTTTTCCCAGTTCTATTAGATTGAGAGTTCATCTGTGAATTACTTCTGTACTTTCTTCATGCATCCGTCAGTCTATTAGGGATAACAGTACTCATTCCCTAACTATTTGAAACAGTTGGCAGAGAAAGCTAGGAATATTGATACATGACAGCTGCATTCATATTTCCACAATATTCAAATACATTTGTACAATAGTTTTAACAAGTAATTAATGATTGACTGGTATTAATAAGCATTGTATCCAAATTGTTAATAAAGCACATGTCCTCCCCATTTACCAAACAAAGCCCTATAGGAAGGTAAAACAAGTACATGAATAACATTTGTAAGACAGAATAAATATATTGCAAAAACAGAGTGATAATGGGAATTAAAGAAAGGTGATTTCAAATCTGGAAAGAGAATAAACATTTGTCACAAAAAAAGTGATTCTGATACAAAGGCCATAAGAATATGAAAGTTCAACTGAAGTTGCCCTTACAAAGGGCGGGGCAAAATGAACATTCTGGTAATATTTAGGACATAGTATGATACACAATCTGGGTAATAGATAGATATAGTGAGAGAAAATAATTGGGAATATGTTTTTAAGTCACAGTGAAGAAAGCCATGTCTGCAAAGCTAAAGAGGCTGTACTGAGAAAAAACATAAAAAGTTCTTGTACAGCACAACAGCTTGAAATATTCGGAGTTAAGATTCAAGAATAATCTGTTGGAAGAACTACATGGGGCAAACTGACAGGGTATAGGTAATAAAGCATACTTATTTATAAGGGTGAGGAGTATGGTGAGAAGCAACCCATATGACCTTATCACTAAATTTATTTGTAAATCCTGAAAAGAGTGGCATTTAAGATTAATCCCAGATTTCACAATTATGAAGAATTAAGGAACTACAACAATTTAGAAAAAAAGATTGCTGAAATTTTAGATTCAATGACAAAAATAAATTCAGATTTGAATGTTTTAATTATAAGGCATCATTGAAAAAATAGGTATTGTTCATCAATTATTTATTCATCAATTAGTACTGTTATAGAAAGCAGTTTGGGAGTGACAGTTACTTAAGGTCTACCCAAATCTATCATAGTGAATGAGAAATTTCCTTATGCGAAAATATTTGTAAAAGCTTGAATAATGACTAGGTCTGTGGATTGCAAAGAAAAATATAAATTCAGAGAAACTGTAATCAGTATGAGAGGAAAATCAAGAGACTATAATGGCCCAATACTCTTATCTCAACCTAATGAAATCAGTAAATCAATATAACAATGAACAGAATTCTGAGTAAGGTTTTTTTTTTTTTTAGTAAGTTTTTTAATCTTAAGAAAAAGGAAAGTATGGTTTCTGGTTTAAGAAGATTTGATCTGGGATAAAGGAATTCATTTTGAGGGGGAGCAACTGGAAAAAAAAAAAAAAACAAACTTAAAATGGATACAGGGAATGTTTAATAGGGTACTGACCAAAAACCAAAAAGTAAACATGAGAATTTGCTTTACTAAAAACTTAATCTGATGGGAAAATATGTCCACTTTTGTAGGAATGAAACTCCCTGTTCGATCTGAGATAGGGCTGACTTAAACCTATTTTATAATTCTTTTTTTTTTAATTGCAAAAGTAACTAAGACATTGGGGTCTCTACTTATTGGCTCTCATTAGTAAGATTTTAAATCATTACACCACTTCAGGAAGAGAAACAGGCAGAATTAATAGTAAAAGAGACTCAAAATTGAGTGTTTACTAGTAGTAATGGCAGAAAATCTTAAGAATGTGGTGTTCTAAAGTAGGAAAAAATGGTGACCCTCAAATGACTAACCATTATTTTTCTTGTTAATAGAAACAAGTAAATCCAGGATAGCAATGTTGGGCTGCAAAACTAGTTCAGGGTCAAGACATGTCAAATGACAATAAATTAATGATCCAATTCCATAAGCGGTAAGCAATATGAGAAATGTTCAGATAGGTTCTCTTTAAAATATGTAAGTTCAGATTTTAAGATCTTGTAGGTGAGAAACACTCCAAACAAAGACACCTGAAGAACACTGCGGGCAGTGGAGACAGTAGATTGGAGACAGACTTCTGTTATTAGAAAGTCAAGATTATTAGAATATCACATGTGGCATTAAATTATTATTTTGTCTCAGAGAGTTTTTCTTGATTAAATATCAAACAGTGACGGTCTATATATTCTCAAACAACTGCTAGAATGAAATATTCTCAAGTTCTCCAAGTGTTACTATGGAAACAGTGCAAGTTTTAGAGACTATCTCAGGACAATAGAAACAAATTTTATCAAAAACATAATTCCCACTTTACTACAGGTTTCCACTATATGAAAAAGTTTTTCCTATGAAAACTTTCCAAGGCAAAATGTCATAAAGAAATTTAACAATTATCATTAATTTATATGGAAACATTTTTAGCACTCCCAGCTTCAAAAAAGAACCTACAATAATACCAAAGAACAATAAAATCTAAAATAACACTAATATGCAGTAAATGCAGGGATGATATAATAAAGAGTATAAAGTAGTTCAAGAGAAGGTGCTTCAAAGTGTTACTCTCACTGCCCCAGTTATGTTCTGTCTCTAGAACTGCTGCTACAAAATAAACACTGAACAATATGCTTGCTTTTAGACTTTTTCATAAAAGCAAAAATATTTGGATTTCTTGGTTTAGCAAATACTACAGTTATTTCATAAAAGTGAAGTGTTGGAAGGTAAACTTTCAAAAAGTGAGGTATATGTATATTAATTTTTAAAAACTGTTTTTATAAATTGATGAAAAATAAAATAAAGGGAATTCAAAGTTGAACACACTATAAATTTTGCTATATATATATATATATATATATATATATATAATGGGAAGTTTTTAATCTGACACTCAGCGTGTTCTCTTCTTATAACTTCTACTTAACAAATAAATGTTGGCACATAAATAATTATATTTCATTTAAATTAGATGAAATAGAATCCCCAAATATAAATGTAGGATTATTATTATTATAGAATTCTGTTGCAAATACAACCTCACATTCCATGTCTCACATACCATGTCTATTTATCCTTCCTATTATTTCTGCTATTTATATAAAATAGAATTTTCAAGTTTCTTTATATTATCTACATGCATATATTTACATGTATATGATACATGAAGCTAAATGATATGAATTCACTATACAGTCAACCCAATCCTCACACTCTTGCAACAAGTTTATTAATAATTTTTGAGAGTACGAAATAATCTGGCTTCCATTCTGTAGGAGTAATAGAGTATGAATTTATTCCTGCTCTTCCTGATTCACTATATTCTTGGTACCTTCCCCATCTAAAAGGTAGAAACCATTTTTGAATGTTCTATTAGAAATAATATTGCCAAAAGAGCAGAAAATTACAGAATCTAATGTAACTATGACCCACCTATACTTGGCTCTGTCACCTTTTCCTCTTTAAGCTTGAGTCACTTAACTAATATATTTGTGTCTTAATTTTGTCACCAGTAAAATGAATAATAACATAATCTGTGCTATATGTTTATCACAAGTATTACATGAGGATATAAAAACTTAAGTCTTATGTGGATGTACGAAACAGTTTTGGCTATTATTGATATATTTAAACTAATTTAAATTTTGGTCTCATTATAAAAGTTTGCGTTTGTTTATTTCCAGAAGGATTCTTTTTTAATTTCAGCAGAATCTATATCAAGATTTATCATCATTCTAGTTATGATGCTTTTATTTGTCATCTAGCAATCTTACAAATCATTGAGCTACTTTTGAAAGACAGAAAAGTACTATTTTAGAAGGGATTGAGGAGCTAGATAGCTTAGATTTGAAATTTGACTAAGCTTTACTATCCATTGACTTTGGCATGTTACTAAATCTATTAGATTCCATTAGTTTTTTTGAACATCAGAAAATAATAGTATTCCCTAAAGAGGTGGTGTAATAATTTAATAAAATGATAATGGTGACATTACTGATCCTGATATATATTTGATGATTCCCTTTACTTGGATTTATTTAATACTAATGCTTCAATAGCACATATAATTGAGCTTAAATAAATGTTCTGTTAATAATCCTTTCCCATTTTCAGTCCTTCCTTTCTATTCCCAGTACCACTGGTCACATTCAGGACCCATTCATCTCCAATTAGGCAATTACCTCCAAACTTACACTGTTTAGAGCTCAGGTTTACAGTGTTTACCCTGTAACTTTATACAATTACTCCTCAAACTATCACGTGAGTCCTTTAATTATAGATTTATATCTTTCACTTAGTTTGCTTATGAAACAATTCATTATGAATATATAAATTTTATGTTAAACTGAAATATCATAAAACAATCTCTTTATCTCACCCCTAACTTTTCCTCTAGAATCTTTTTCAAGACCTTTAAGTCTTATACAAGCCTCAGTTTTTCAGATATTTTGTCTTTTGGTAGCCATTAGTCACCCTTTACTTCCAGTAAACTAGACTGCTGTCATTTCTCAGAAAGCTCTTTGTAATCTAACTTGATACACCCATTTTATTTGTTGAAACGTTCCTCATAACCATCTCTCCTCAGTACTTTTACTCATCATTCAAGGCCCATTCTAAATAAAATTACAGTTAATATATTAGTCAGAAATGTCTCCTTATTGTTTATTTTCAAAATACCATGTTTACATTTTTTTAAAGATTTATTTATTTATACAAGCACTGGGTACAGTCAGAAGCGTGGGAGGGTGAGAGAATTCACCAGAGCCAGAGCGGGGAGCAGAACAGGCA